CAAAAAATCAAAGAAGAGAGAGAAAAAAATGATCAATTATGTCATTAGTTTAATATCAATTAACAAAAAATCAAAGAAGAGAGAGAAAATAATGATCAATTATGTCATTTTTCAGGGAATTGGATTAATTTGGGAGTCCTACAGACTAGATCCCTATGTTCAACGTTTGGCAGAAACAGTATCAAACTTTCAAGAAAAGGTAAACTTCATCTATTATCTTAAAATTAATACTATTTTGATTTATGTTAAGAAAATTTCCAGGAAATGATCATTTGTCTACTTTAACTGTGTTTTTTGTACTGTGATGGGAAATGGTGGTCAACATCAGAAGTATACAGAAGCAGTTTTTATTCTTTTTTTCTGGGGGGGGGGGAGACAGGCAAAACTCCTGAACTAAATTAGTTTTTTTGCATTTAATTAATGTATTTGTCATTTTTATGGTCAGAGAAACCTCACTCAAATGCATATTGCATGGAAAATTTCTTTTTCATTTCAAATAAATAAATTCCTTGGCATGAGTCCATATGTATTTACGGACTTACAGCACAAAAGTCTGGCATTCAATTCCCTGTGACATAAAGTGTGTAGATAACCATAGTGTAGCTTTGTGCTAATAAGTAAATAAAACAGTCATTACCATGAGCCATTTTATGTTGAGCCTTTTGTAAGAACTAAATATTTAGTAGCTGTACACGCTGGTGATAGTGTCTTAACCTGAAGTATGTTTTCAAACACCGTTGTGCTCTACAGTGTGAGATTATAAAGCATTGGGTATTTTGAGCGGCACACCATTTTGTGTTTAAACAAACAACAAGCAATTTTGGGAAATATTTGTCAAGAAATGTAAAGCATTTAAAAAATTATTTTGTTATAGTTATAATTTTTATGTATAAAATTATAGAAAGAAAAAAAATTCTTCATTTCGATCCTTGTCCGTGTATTGAAAGCAGAGTCGTTACGAATCAAAGTTTTTCTGATTATGGAGTGACTCTTCATAGACTATTAGTTCTGTCTTATTTTAGATATTACTGGAAACCTGATAGTTTAGTACAAATGTTTAAGAGGGCTGTAAACTTTTCTTGCAACAGTAAAAACCCGAAGACTTTATAAAGTAAGAATTGATAAGTAATTATGGTGGTTCAAGTAAACCTATTTTATATATACATTGTTTTTCAATACATGTAAATGTATTTGCATTTGAAAATTCTTAAGTATTAGATTATGTTAGCCATATACTATAGTAAGTATAGTAAGGTGCCTGACAGGATAGTTTTATTTGTGTTTTTATTATAGCATCAGTGTTTTACTCAATAAAAAATAAACCAAGAATTAAAAAATAGGATGAAAAGTTTGAAAATTTGAAGAAAAAAAGATTTTGTTGCAAAAAAAAAAATTGAAAATTATTTGGTGTGTGTGTGTGTGTTTTTAAACTTTAGCAACAAGCCACTGGATAGTATTTGATATTTATCATAAATTTAAGTCATATTGGTTTCTAATTCTTTATAAACTTTTCCAGCTTTTGGCATTTAAGCCATAACTTTTTAAAGTATTTTACTCCTATGTAAATAACTTTCAGGCCAACTGTTGAGTTTTGGTATTGAATGAAAGGTTTTTTTGGACATTGACCTGTGGTACACAAAAAATAATCTGAAATATTATTTTTACATACTTCTGATTTAGAATCTGAAATGGGCAAGTGAAAAATGAATGTGGAAAAAAACATTTTTAGTTAACATAATTGTTAATCATGAATTTTTAGGCCTATTGGAAGCATGTTAACTTTCTGATGACAATTAAAACTATGAAGTATAAAGTATTTGTCAGAATGAATACTGGCTACGATGTGTATATAAAATTGTTATATCTGTAATAGTTGAAAATAGAGTAAGAGCTGCAAACCGAGTCATTGCAACTGGTTCTTCTTGATATGATTTTAGTACTTATTATAAATTTACTAAATCATTATCAATTCAAACCATTAGATGAAATTACAATATATGCTAATTAAAGAAACACAAGCATTGCATATGTTGTATCAAACTTGAATGGTAGTGGAATTGATATTACATTGCTGGTATAGGTAACATTGAGAATGCCTTTGTAGTGTATAAATCTTCGAGTTGGTGTCATATTTTCTTCTTTTATGTGATTTCTATATAGAGGTTTTATGAGGTAGAAGTCGAATTTGGTAATACATAATTAACTCATTGTATTAATGAAAATAAGAATTCTGATAGTTTATTAAAGTACCTCACGTGGTGTTGATCGTATTAAATGTGAATCATAAAGTGTACAGAGTTTTCAGATGTTCTTAACTGCACTTAAAATTGTTTTTACATCATAGGTGGATGACCTACTTACAATTGAGGAGCAAATTGACGTTGATGTGCGATCCTTGGAAACAAGTGCTTACTCAGCCAACACCTTTACTGATATCTTAAACAAAATCCAGAAGGCTGTGGATGGCCTTAGTCTTCACCAGTATTCCAACCTGCATTTGTGGGTTAGCAAGTTGGATGAAGAGGTAATTAGTGATACAGAACATTTGAAGTCGGCGTGTAAGTACCATGTGTAATAGAACTTCCATCAGTAATATATGATTTTGTGAATTAACACTCGCAGCCTTTATAAAGTGTGTGAGTACGTATATAAGTGTTTGTAAATTATCCATGAAAATTTACAGGAAACAACAACTATGCAAAACAAACTTTTCACACCTTATTTTGAATAAAAATATACGTGTTTTTGTCGGTTTTTGAGTATATTCTTGCAGCTAATCGTAACAGCCATCAAAACTCTCTTCCATTAGGTGGTCCCAGTATGAATGAAAACCTAAACATAGGTAAATATTTTGGGTAATCGTTTTAATATAATACATCTCTATGCCAATTTGTATGTAAGATTAAAATGGTTGTTCAAAGAATCCTCCAAGCTCCCTTGACCCTGAGTTTTGAAAACTCCCTTAATCTTCCATTAGGTGGTCCCAGTATGAATGCAAACCTAAACATAGGTACATATTTTGAGTAATCGTTTTAATATAATACATCTCTATGCCAATTTGTATGTAAGATTAAAATGGTTGTTCAAAGAATCCTCCAAGCTCCCTT